CTTGTAGAAAATCGTTCCTGAACGGTTCAGTTCTGCAGCTATTATTATCTTCTCCAACATCAGATTAAAGAAATCGCATGAAAGGGAGTAACCCTGTCTGAAACCCCGTTTGGCCGTTAACGGCTCAGGGAGGTCTTTCCCAATTCTGATGGAGCCGGTGGTATTGCTCAGCGTTATTTCACACAGCCTTATCAGTTTCGCGGGATGCCAAATTCAGACATCGCGGTGTGTAGGCAACTCCTTTTAGGTCTATCGAAAGCGGCTTTGAAGTCGACAAATAGGTGGTGAGTGCCGATCCTTTTCTCGCGGTCTTTTCAAAGATTTGGCGTATTGTGAATACCTGGAATATGGTGGAATTGCCAGGTCGGCAGCCACACTGATAAGGCCCAATCAGTTCGTTGACGGTGGGCTTCAGTCTTTTACACAATACGCTCGACCTTGTAACCTATGCTTAGAAGGCTGATCCCGCGATAGTTGGCGCAAATGTCGGAGTCGCCTTTCTTGTGAATTGGGTAGAGCACACTTAAATTCCAGTCGTCGGCCATGGGTTCATCTGACCATATTCTGCATAAGAGTTTATGCATGCACCGTATCAACTTTTCGCCACCGCACTTGAATAGCTCAGCTGAAAGGCTGTCAGCTCTAGCAGCTTTGTTGTTTGACATCCAAAGAAATTAAAAATACAGATTCGAAAGTTTATGTTTCTGTGCAGCTGTAGGTCGTTTCAGAAGTAATTTTCTGCTTAGAACTCGAGCTCGAGCTTAGAACTGCTCCAAGATATTGAGGTTTTTCGTGGTTAAGTACACGAAAAACGGCTTTAATGGCCACTTCTGTTTGCTCTATGCCATTTACAGTCAATTTTACGAAAGCAGTTTAAGTGAAAAATAATTATAATTTTCTGAGTTTTATATGGAGATTGACAGTAAATAAAAAATCATTTTCCATTTAAATTGCTGGTGAAACCGGCTGTTAGTGCTATTCTTACCCTTTAAAATGCGCCTTCGAGTTGTGCTTCACGATTTTTCCTTCAGAAACTATGACCATTGAAAGATGACGTAATGAGTTAAAGCATAGACAGACGGCAACGGTGATCCGGATTAACGCCGAGAATTTACGAGCCGCGAGGTCGTAGGTTCGAATACCACGGCCTGTAGAATATTCATTTATTTTTTTTATTCGCTTATAACTTCTATATTTTTTTCTAAGTAGTTTTTAGTTAGTAATTTAAGTAACAATAAAAACGAAATTTTTTTGGCAATTGCTCCAACCGGGATCGAACCTGGGACCTGCAGGCCTGTAATACACAGCCCCCTCACCACCAACTCACTTTGGAGCGTAGAGCACAAAGAAAATGTAAAACTAGCATGAACGTCCACCTTATCGTCGGTAATGTCCATGCTTTCCTTATGTCCCTTATGTATAAGTTTTTGGTGAAAAGGAAAAAATTATAAAATCTGGTCGCCATATTGGCTCCGCCATTTTGAATTTCAAAAATCCGACATCATATTCAAAATCACCGACCTAAAAACCTCTAAAACAGTTTTCAGAGTTTCAAATCAATTTGGTTACTTCTCAAGTTTTGGCCAGCAAATATTAGTCGCCAGACCATAGAGAAATATATTTGGATGACTTTTTTCTATTTGCATATAAATTCATATTTCAAACTTTGTGCAAAAATCGAGCCCTAACCGCCAAAAGGGCGTAAGCGACAAAATGTTCGATTATCAGTTTTTGACAGAATCGATTACTTACCACATTCGCACCAGCTGTGAAAATTTCATTACCGTTACAAAGTTATAGCGAAAGCAATTTTGGCTTAAGTGCTTAATTGTACTCTGTTTACATTTTTTTGTCCCCGCAGTGTCGGTTAAGCCTTTTTCTCCGTGAACAATTTTTCATTGAAGAGGGGAATCGTTACATTTTTTTGGTGAGAGTTTATTTATTACAAGGTTGTATTTCACTTGATGTGTATGTATGTATGTATATACATATCGTCGTTTAAAGTACAAAACCGCGTATCGTCATTCTGCAAAACCGCGTAACTGACATTTGCTGCCAAAAGTTGGATTTGATCACACAAGCTCTTGGCTCAATCCTTATGCATTCGTCCTGAAATATACTAGTCAGAAATAAAAAGAACCATTTTGAAATATGAGTGTTTTTATTCTCTAGAAAATAATTTACATAATTCACATACGCGGTTTTGCATTATCTTGATACGCGGTTTAGCATTTTTTTGATACGCGGTTTTGCACTTTAAACAACGATATGCATGTTTGTTAGGGGCAACTCTTGCAATCAATTTTCGATCAACTTCCCCATGGCCTAGAGACTTGAAACTTCACAGTTGGTTCAGAACCCGATGACAATGCAATACGAAAGATGAGTTAATCCGATAGGTGGTGCAGGAGTCGAGATATTTGAAAATCCCGTATTTATAGTCCTATTTGGTTCATATTTAGAACGTAGGTATATGGGGAAATCTTTTAAGACAAGGACATTTTGCGTACTGGCATATGGTTGCCGCCACAAAGCAGTTGCACTACCAAATGCGGTTTTTATACTTTCGTTAATACTACTTATATGTGTAGATATCAATAAATAGTTATTCAAAACAAAACTAGCGGTTTAAATTACCAGTTTACTTGATAAAATGGAGAAAATCAAGAAATTTCTAGTGCCCCTCGTACATAATCTATTTTTTATTAAGGTATAACTTCTTGAGCGGTCAGATCTAAAGCTCGGGGTTTTCAGACATTCATTCGTAGGTTCTGAGGAATAAAATGGCAGCTATTAAATAAATGTGCCAGTTACCAAATGCGACAAAAAAGGCTGCTTACAACTGTAACTGAATTTCGTGTATTTAATAAAGAACGTGAATTTTCTGGTGGTAGTCGTTAAGCGGTACTTATTTTACATTTATGGGTATAAAATATACTTCAATTCTTCAGCAGAAGAATCCCAGGTTAAAGGACAATGTGCTACTTATCATTGCTGAAAATCTTCCTGAGAAAACGCGTGATCAGTGCGTAATTTTTTACTTAATATTGGTTTTCCGTTGATCACAACCAATCAAGGGCAAATAAATTTATATTCCCTGGTGTCATATTTTGTGTTTGCATATTTGGGTCTGTATAAAAATGCTCAATTCTAAAAATTATTTTATAGTCAGTACTGGATAATCCATACTGATATAAATGCGAAAGGTTTGTTTGTTACGCTTTCACGCTTTAACTACTCAACCGATCTTAATGAAATTTCGCATACTGGTGTCATTTAGCCCGGCTTAAAAGATAGGGTAGTTTTTATCCCGATTAGACAAAGGTGCATGGCACCTTCCATACAAACATACTGCATACCTCTGGAAGTATTTGTGGTAAAGTACTGGAACTTCGTATGGAGATATATGAAATCAATACTAATAATGTGGGTTCTTGGAAAAGGGCCCGTGGCACCTGCAATAAAGACTGAAGTTTGTATACTACCACTTGTAAAATGATTAACTTCAATTCAAAGTATTTTATATGTTACATGAGTTATTACAAAAGGGATGTCGATCGAGTCGGTATATCCCAGAAATGGTGACTCTTAGAAACAAAAGTGTCATAACGGGTTTTAAAAATAATTGCATGATCTACACTTTTCTCTAACCTATTTTTATGATAAACCTTACGGTTCTTCTGAAGAGTTAGTAGAAAAGGAAAATTCTGTGTTCGTTTCTTAAAATATTGCACTCCAGGAGGGCAAAAAAGGCTCATCTTCTGCCCTTTGATGCTTTGTCTGGGGAGATGGTTGCCCTGTAAAGCAGAAGGTTGCTTAAAATAACAATATTATGAAATGCGTGACCCTGATAAGGATAAGTAGACAAAACATGCACTTTTACAGGGTTGAGTGTAAAGTGAAACACATTTTTCACCATGGAAGAACAACATTTTTTTGGGACAAACGAAATCAGCATTAGTTTTTATAGAGAAATAGTATTTTACCAATAACGTATGTATTTGTGTTGAAAAGTTGTTTTCCTAATAACAAGAATAAAAGAATCGAGTTAAAGGCATCAAAATGGTTTTTGTTAATGCAAAAAAAAATTTTTTTTTAACCGCCGCAATTGCGTGCTGCAGCCTTTTTTTGTGACGGCAAAAAGGGCGTAAGCGACAAAATCACCTGTTTCATTAAATATGGGCAAATAAAACCACCAGTATTATATACCTAACATCAAACGTAACTTGTTCATTGACTTTCACGTTAGTATCTAAAGTAATTGCCGTGTTAATAAAAAAAACGCCTACTGAAAAATTTACTTCTTGTCGCTTACGCCGCTTTGGCGGTTATGGTCGAAATTATAAAAATTCTGAATTTTGAATTTTTTTGTCAGACTTACAATTTTTTTGAGTATGCAGTTCTATAGTCTATTAAACTTTAGTATAATAATAAAGTGTTAAAATCGCGATGATTTTTGGCAATTTTTTTACGCATTTTCCTCCATAAAATGTATGTTCGACAATTTTTGCTGCATGGAAAAAATTGCGTAATACAGTCGGAAAAATATTTTCAAAAATCAACGCGATTTTTAGCAACTTAAAACTTAGACTTTATTTCACTAAAATTTTATGGACAATAAAACTACATACTCAAAAAAATTCTTGAAAATCTGATTAAAAAGTTTAAAATTTTATAATTTTTTCACAAAGTTTGAAATATGATTTTATATGCGCTCAAAAAATTGTGATTTAAAAGTTGAAAATTTAGATTCAACTTTGCAAAATTTTGCACGAAGTTTGAAAAATAAATTTATATAGGTTTTGTTAGACAATGAGCTGCACTTTTAAAAAAATAATAATAAATATTAATTAAATAGAAGAAATATAGCCAAAACTGATCAAAATAAGGCGTTTCTGTTATTTTGGCCATGGAAGCATGTATATTCCAATTTTTTTTTTTTGTTTTACCGTGTAATCTGCCTCTAAAAGACTCAGCGGCTTCTTATTTCATATACTTACATCTTTGATTAACTGCCCTGTTGCTGGTTTATCACTCATTTGCTTTTCTAACTTTTGTATAACGCGATAGAAATTCGCCAAATCAGATTCAATTTCATCTGGATCATATGTGCCAACTTGTGAGTGCATCCACGCGTCCTGTTTCTCCATAAACTCTTGGCTGGTGTCGAACAAGGTTTTGAATGGTTTAAGCTGGTCGTGCGTCTTCTTACGTATGGGATATTGGGTGAGATCCCAACCATAAGCAGTTTCCTCTTCATTAATACGATCAATTGTATCCATAGCCGCGACCAAACGAGAATCCAAGACATTTGCTCTACGCTGCAAAACAAGAGATTTTATTTACTGGTTACCCAGTTGTAAATATATTTTATAAAAGCTTATGCCACCTTATAACGTGCCAGATGCTTGATATCACCCCAATTCTCATAGTCCTGCACCTGTTCATAGTAATTTTGTAACTCACGTCGAAAAGCCTCGATGCGCTTCTTAAGGCGTTCTTGATACTCAATGGTCTTGTCAGAAACAATCAGCCGATGTTCTTCGAATACAGAAGGCATTTTCAGGTACCACTGGAAGGTGTTGCTATTGTTTTTTATATCCAACGGCGAATAAATTATATTGTCCATCAGCCATAAAATATGGTTCATATTCTGCAAAAGTCGAATAATTCAAGAAACACTATATATGTATAAATAGATACATATGGGGCATTCTTTCTTTGGTATATAAAGTAACAAAAAGCCTAAAATGATATTTTAGATGACACTATCGCTTTCAAATCGGTATAAATTTGGCAAAGCCTTATGGATTTCAATAGTTAAGGCACTGGGTGATCTGCAAAACCAACTATAGTCAAACCATCGATAGTATTCGATAATTTTTAAAACTATCGATATATAGTGGATAGTATCGCAAAAAGTTTCCGCCCAAATTTGATATGAAGATTTGGCATATTTAAAAATACATTCCAAAATTTTGTTTGGATACCATTGTAACCTACTTGAAGTAAGTTGAAATTGAGGAAAAATGGGTGTAAATGCATGTGATAAAGTAAAGTTGGAATTTTAATGCTCGCATCCCCTAGGAAATACAAAATCGTTAATATTAAAGAAATGGTTAAATAAACAATTGGGTATTATTATTGGAAGTCTCCTGAAGAGAACCAGAGTTTCCAATAGAAAAATATTGATTTTCAAGAATTCCATACCATTTCTACCATAAGTTGTTTCTTTCCCATATAAAAATACATGGAAAACTTCGAGCGCTTTGAGCGACCTCTAAATAGTCTTTGATTTCAAAATAAAAAAATGGTTATACTTTTTTTCGATATAGAACAAACCTAGGGGGTGAGAGTATTAACATTCCGACTTTGCTCTAGTGTACAATCGTCCGATTGTGATGAGGAGCTTCTCTGCGTTTGCTACTTTGGCTATTGCGAAAAGAAAGTGAAGAAAGGAGACTCTCCAAATTCAACCATATCACTGCGCGCACACGAAAAACGGCTATCGCAGAGCAAGCAAAGCAACCTATCGATAGTTTTGTTTGTTTCGAGACTATCGTGAATATTGATAGTTTTTCTGAAAACTATCGATGGTGTGACTATCGATAGTTTGACACCTCTACTTGCTTGGGCAGGCGGGTCTTTTCTGGTAGCAGGTAGCAAAGTTACTTACCTACGTTAAATTCGAATTGCTAGTTTTTATATATCGAGGGCGTATATTCAATGCCCTCTATCTGCACTTTTCACAAAAACCACTTTTTGGTGTTAGAACCCATCTGAGGCTTACCTGCCCTAAATGCTGTTAATTCTGATTTTGAAATTTAATAGTAAATTCCTTTGCCAAGCGTTGTACCAGGTCAGCATTACCTAGTATCAAAATTTCATTTCTGTGATATGTTTTAAAGAATATTTCTAAAAATCAATATTTAGTATTGCCAGACACTTTCGCAAAAAAATTATTGAAGCTATCTTATGTTCTCAGTTCCAAATTTTATATCCAATACTTAGGAGACTATTTTAGTACCTTTGGTGAACAGCCAGACCAATCCGATGGGCCGAACGTTCCCCCAGACACAATAGTTGCGTTCCTTCTCTCCCAGAAATAGTCCGAAGTAGTCAGATTTAGTCTAAAAAACGTGTCTTAGCTTGAAAATTACAGCAGAAATGAGAGCGTAACTCTCAATGAGAGTGACTCTCTTCAGTCCGAAGCTACAAGAATTAGTCAGAAGAATTTTTGCTGCCAAACTCTTGAAAAGTGTCAAACTCAACTGAATTTAAATTAACGGAAATTAAAGAAAACACGAAAAGTGAGAATAATTTAAAAACTAAAAAAGGGAAATTAAAATGGAAGGAGGCAAAGAATAATTGGTATAGAAAGTGTTTATTGTGCTTGGGCTTGTTTGAATGTGCTTTGTACATACATTTCTATTTTTATTTGACATTAGTTTTGTTGTTGCCATTCTTTGGAATAAAAATTTGGTTTTTGCGTTCCTTTTCTTTTTCCTGTTATTCTCTTTTAGCGAGCGCATTTTCCTTACGCTCTTGCATTTCGACACTTCAGATTTTAGTCAGAATATATAAGGAATGTACCTACTATTAAAAGCTATTTCTTGTATGAAATTTATTTGGAAATTATGTTACTCATACGCCACGTACCCACGCGTTTCATCAAACTTAATAGGAAATTTGTTATAATAAATTTAAGTCAAAGGTATGCAATTTTAAGAAAAGGCTATTGCTTAGTTTTTATGCAGCGAAGTAGTTTCGACTACCAATGTACATTTTTAATACCGTTGTACTCATGCTATTTTATGCAACCATGAATTGTTATATTAACATTACACTTATTCATTGTTCTTCATTACATTTCGTTCCTTCAGATAGTCCTTTGTATTCTGCGAACAAGTGAAGTTAATAATGCGTTAATACACAAAGCTCTAAAACTATTGTTTTATTCCTGATATATAGATTACGCGATTACTTCTTAGTAATATTAATTAATTGACTCTTAATGTTCCCTGTCATCATACTAAATACTTGCCACTGTAATTATGTAATATAAGTGAGTGATATACATAAGTACCGATGCGCGTAAACAATCTATTTACCCTCAATCATATCTTTCCCAGATTTGTAGCCCAGCAACTGTTCTTATATTTACTTGACAACATTAAAATATCTGAGTCAAATATTATACCACAGAAATGAGATGACGGTAATGTTAACGACGATGAGTTAAGTATTGAAATATAAGATTGGTTCGATGATGAAATACAAAGCTCTAACTTTTAAGTCATTTATAATACATCAACAGGTTGGAAAATTTAATCCTAGTCATCGCTGCCTTTTCGGATTTAGGAATAGAGTTCTAGAGCCTCGCAGCATCAGTGAAGACTAGTCTAGTTGAAGACACAATCAGAAGGTACAATCAGACTCTGATGCCTATTACATCTTGTTTATTTTAATTTTAAAAAATGTATTTTGGAGTTTGGAATTCTATAAGCTTATGGGCAAATCTAAAAACAGGTAACCTTTGGGTTATTTAGCTTTATTTTCACTGTTGTAAACTATATCAAGCTGGCTGCTTTTGGATATAATTCATTGACGTATACTTGAAGCCTCAGAAAAAATTTGGATGAATTTGCTGCATAACTTTCGAATTATAGGTGTTTAAACTAAAAAAAATAATGAAATCATGTGAGTTTTGTATGTAATTTTTAAAAGGGGCACACCTAATTATGTCATAATTTTTGAAGCACACCATATTCTAATTTGTAATTTAATGGGCATTTAGCACTTATTTATGTGTACACTTTATATGTAGTACGTAAGAAAAGTGTGCATTCAAAAATAACGAAATTGCAAGTAGCTCATGGTGCATTCAATGATATCGAGTGGGATGCACATAATACATTTTTTCATATGAAAAGTTATGGGGAGATACTGTAAACATACTGTTGTGATACTGTAAAGCATATGAAATTATCGCAAGTTGGATTTTCATACATCTTTCCATAAAAAGTTTAACAGATGCAGAGATACCAACTCCGCCATTCACATACGTGTCAAAAGTAGGAAGTTTCAAAATTAAAAACCATAAACAAACAGATTCAAAACAAATAAATTGTTTGTAGTAGAACTTTTTAAATAGAAGCAACTCAATAATTGTGGACAATAAAAATACAAAGAACTATGATAACAAACTTAAAACAAGACATTACAGAACATTTTAATGAGCTTTATATCACATTTAAGTAAAAATAAGCCTATATTTTCCAAGCTGGCAAAGAAATGAAAATGTGTATTTTTTGTTGTTTACACAAAAACTTGCCAAATATACATATAAGTCAAAATTATAGAAGGCATGTATACTTCTCCATTTAATTTTTTCATACTGTTTATGCTTCTTTCTGGCTTTTACAAAATGCAGGGATACCGCACTTATTTCGGTACAATATGATCGTAATGTATTTTCTATTCAAAATCAAAGAATGTTTCCTTCAAACCGCATTGCTATTTTTCTAACTTTTCCCTTTGTTTAGCGCTGTAACCGCTTAAGTTATATCTTTTAATTTATACATGTGAACTATTTTCAATGAGCATTTTTTCATTTGCTCCTAAATTTTAGGAAAATTTTCTTATAATTTCTTTAATTTTTTTTTATATTACATATATACACTCCAAAGTTCGGGAGAAGCTAGGCCAAACACTAACATATTGTTTAAGCGCCAATATGTATATCGTCGTTTAAAGTACAAAACCGCGTATCGTGATTCTGCAAAACCTCGAAACTGAAATTTGTGCCAAAAAAGATATTTGGTCACCGGAAGCTTCTGACATCAAGCCCTTAGCCATTTATAATAAAATATCGATACTTAGACATAAGGAGAAGAGATTATTAAGTTTAAAAAAGAGAACCGTTTTCAATTAGGACTCTCTCCTATAAAATTTAGGCAACCTCACATACGAGGTTTTGCATTTTCTTGATGCGCGGTTTTGTACTTTAAACGACGATATGTAGAAGTATTGCATACATATTTTGATGCCTTTTCAAGTATAAAATCCACTGAGAAACGGAAGAAAACGGCATCCCTATGATTTCAACTTATGCCAAACGTTTCGTAAACAAGCAATTCTGAACAAAANCATTACAAATATGGAAAAATAGCACTCCACAAGGCTTTATTGGCAGTAGGTCCTTTTTAAAGCACATTTAACAAAAAAATAAGCTTCTAGTTTCGAAGCTCGCACAAAATAAAATTTTTTTTATTTGTTGTTTACAAAATAAGTATTGCCAAGTATATAAGTCAAAATTGTTAAATATATATCGCTTTCATTCATTTCTTCATAGAGTTGGTGCCTCTTTTTTGGGAAAATTCATACGGCTTATGAACAGATTCATACCATGTAAATGCACCATCAAGGTCTGTAACTCCACATTTCAGTTTTAAAAATTTTCGGTTTATCGCGTATATGTAGTTTTTGAAGCATTTAATTGTAAGGACTTTTTAAGCATGTATTGTATTCTACAAACAATTACGAATAATTTGATACCTTAAAAAGAGTTGTGCTTTCATAATAAACCAGTTTTTAAAGATAGAATATTCTGCGATCTTGAGCGTAATTTTTATTCCAAAAACATCTTAATTG